CCAGAAAAAAAAACAAAAAAAACTTTCAACCAACAATCATACTAACTGTTCAGTCAATGAATGTGCAATGTTTCCTATATGGAATTACATTCTACTTTCATCACTAAAATTTGTTATGCTACCTGCATATCTTCCTAAATATATTAACATAAAGGTAAAAAAATAAAAAACAAATTTCTAAACATATTAAGATAAAAAAAAAATTTTGCCTATCAAAAGTTCTTGGAGTCCATCAGTGGAATCCACAATATATCTGATGAAAATAACAGTAATGGAACTTGACTGGATTTTGTTAGACTGGGCAAATCATTACATATGGTTATCTTTAGACTATTTTTTCATCTTTGTTTTTTTTTTTTATCATGTTTTGGCTTTGATCTTTCTTGGGTGTCTGTTGTATTCTATAAAGTTGATGTCTTCTTCAGTTTTTGTATCCTCATATTATATGGCCATCTCTCCAAGACATTTATGCCCACCTTAATACTTTTCCCCTCAGCTTTGCATTTGCTCTCATGTTCATATAGACATGTGCTACTATATGTATACATACTGCCATTTCCATGTGGGTCACCAGTTCACTGCTTGCTTTTTCTTTGTAGCCACGGAAGACTCAGCAACTATAAATGTGATTATTACTACTGGTGGATTTATTTTTATTTTATTTAAAAAATGAAACATAACATCAGGTGATGATGAAATTAAAAAAAAAAAAAAAAAGAACTAAAGATATCTTTTCAGTTCAATATGTTTTTAATATTTAACTATTACAAGTTGTTTTTTTTTTAAATGCCATATGTCTGCAGTGATCATGGCTCTCCACAGTATTCCTTTTCTTTAACATTTTTAGACTGTAAATAGCCATGTTTATTCTTTGCAAAGATAATGGTATGGTTTACCATGGCCTTCTCCACAGCTTTCAATTCATATCTGTTCTTCTCTGAGAGAATTTTACATGTCTACAGAACCCAGTATGGCCTGCTATTTTTGTTTTGTGTGTGGGTGTGTGTGCATGGATAGATGAATATTTCATATTTGAAGTAAAAAAATTACAATTTCCTGTTTTTCTCTTGCAATTATAAAAATAATACATGTTTGTGTCTCTATAGTGATGAAAATAAGTATTTAATACATGACTGAAAAAACAGTTTATTGCATTATTTACCTATGTGCATATAATAAGTACTAACCTCAAACATAAATCACATATAGATTTAATCTTTACAATATTAAATATGAGTAAACATTTTAAATAAAGATATATTTAAAAAAAAAACGTCAAGTAAAAAGTATTCAGCACCAGTTCATAAAAGTAGTAAACTAATATGGCCGGATAATGTAAATTTCTAGTTAGTTGACCGTAAACAGTTATAAGCAGTAAATAACATAGTGTTATAGACAAGCGTATGGTTTCAAGAAAGAAATACGACAACAGCAAAAATAGATTTACGTGGTTTATTTCAACAGGAACGTGAGGGTTTGGGACAGTTACCTTGTGGTATAGTTCATAAGCCGGCTTCGGATCTAGGTCAATCTCTCATAGTAGTTCACACATGTTGACAGTGTTTGATGCTCCCCTGCTGTCAGCTGCTGACCGTGACAGGTCTGTTCCCTGGCCACCTGTGGACTGCTTGTTGAACTTCTGTGTGACCACTTTTATAGCGTTTTTTTATGGCTTAACAGGCTCAAAAAACGAAGTGAGTATAATTAGGAGGGAAGCATTTTTATTGGACGAAAAACAGAACACTTTAAATATTATTTTATTTTTCGACCGGAACACATATGTCGGGAACATTTGTAAATGGAGATATTGGTCATTTTGTGACGGGGTTTTGTCCCGTTGACATCCAGCTCTCGCTCTTGAGTATTTGCCTGTAAATCAGCCAAGATATATTTTATTTTATTTTATAACAATAGTTAACATTTTTGACATGATAGTAAGGTATATCACTTGACAGCTGTCATAACAATAGCATCTATCATGTCAAAACCTAAGGAACATTATACAAACTTTAGATATATCTTAGTTACCATATCATAAAGGTAAAAGTAACAGAGTTATCAGTAATGAACAAAAATCTCATATCCGTGCACCATTGATTTCATAGTTCACAAGAAATATGACTTAATGAATGACATGGCCCTGTTTTTGTAACCATCAAAAGATTCCCAGTCATGGTGCAAGCAGGACTGATATAATGGTAAAGATGGAGCCAAAGAGCTGGTGTTAGATCCTCAAGGGTCAGGGACAACAGTTATACCTCACAGTGTCAAGCAACACACTGTACAAGCATGAGACACAGCTTAGGTTTGTTAAGAAGCAAGTATGCAAGCCACTGGAATAATACCACTCAGATTGATGAGGATATAGGTATTTGATTGCAATCTACATCATCAAATTTGAGGGAAGAACAAAGAATTCAAGCCAGAGAGCACCATTCAATTGTGAAAAATGGAGGCAACAATGAAATAATATGAAACTGTTTTTCATTACAAGATGCAAGACAATCTTATATAACTGAAAAAAAAAAATGAATAAAGTTATGTACCGAGATATATTGAGTAAAAACTTCAGGATTTAAAAATGAATATCAGTTGGTTGTTTCAGGACACAGATCCTAAACATACTGTCAGTTGTTGAAAAGTTTGCTTATATTTTAAATACGAATACTCTGCATAGTGTAATACTCAGATAAATACTTATATCAGTAGGTAAATAATGCAATAAACTTTTTTTCATAATGTTTATTAGATACTTACATATTATAATTATTATTTTAAAATTTTAAAATTCATCACAACACAGAAATTACCATGTTTCGAAATTAAAAATTTAGGTTTTGGTTTAACTTAAAATTTAAAGTTTATGTTTCATTTTCAAGCAATGTTGAATAACTTTCAAAGAAATGGTTTACTCTTTTTATAACCTAAATAGTATCATATAGTTTAAGTTGGTGAGGGAATGTGATTACAAATTCCCCCACTAATTATTTAGCTTATAATAAAAGCAAATCAATTCTTCTTCAAAAGTTTTTCAGCATCACTTGAATATTGAAACAAACTTTAAATTTTAAGTTAAATTTATTATTTAGATTTTGCTTTCAAAACCCGGTAATTTCTGTGTTGCAGTGAATAGATATTTTAAAATGATAATTATAATATTATGCTCTACTGTGTATCGAGCACTGTTTTAAAAATAAATACTAAAGAATTCTGGATTATAAATCTGACTGTTCTTTCTTTTTTATTTTGGTATGTGTACATATATATATAAATCATGATATATATGTAAATCAGTGCATAATAAAATCAAAATATATGCAATATTTATTTTTATTTTGCCAAGATACATGTTTTTTACTCATATGCACAACATACATACATGTGTGTGTGTGTGTATATATATATATATATATATATATACACACACACACACACATCTATATAATATAAAAAACATGATTTTGTTTTGTTCCAGAATGTGATAATAAATGTATAAAAATGCATTCAAAAAGCTATATTATCCATATGTATCATATTATTGTTCAGTTAATATTCATGTTAATTTGTATTCTGTTATATTTATTTTAATGTTTACATAATATAAGTTATGATTTTGTTGTTATTTAACCTTGCATATCTTTGTTACCTGTTTTCATCAAGCTGAATGAGCATCTTGCTGAGACTAATTACATTATGTTATAAATATATTTTTGTTGTCATACATACATTCTGATACACCTATGTACAAAATGCTAAAACTAATCTTGTGATGTCACAAAATATTCTTTTATGTTATTCATACAAGCATACTTACATTACACTAAAATTATGTTATTTCTGTTATGAATGCAGGAATTTTGTATCTATCTATATCAACAGACAGATATAGGTAGACATATTGGATTGTGTCTGATCAGTGGAGAATAACTGCTTTTATTGATGGCACTTGCTGTTTTTAAAAATGTAACTTTTTTTTTCCCTTCTATGTTTTGTATAAAAGGTTCAATTTTACTATTTCTGGCTTTTTGTGTTCACTTGTTATTACAAACCAAGCTAAGCTTATTTTGGGCCTAAGTATAAGTATCAGGCACCCACTGAGAATTTAACTCACTACACAGTAGTAATAGCAAACTGAACTAACTCAGTAATAATTTTCCTTCATACCAAGACATACTTTTAATCGTTAAGCAATATTATTGCTAGAAATGATTAAATTTTATTCAGACTGTGAATCAACGCAACGAAAAGTTTAAATATTTCAATCAGTTTCAGTCTGCAACAAATACTGACTGGCTTGATTTTGACATTATTGATTTATTCATTTTCTATAGCTTATCAACCCTTTTGCAAGTTATTTAAAGCCAGAAAATATTTTTAGACTTGTTATATAGGAATTAAGTGTCGCTGCCAACACTTGAGTTTGAACATAGATCGCCAGTGAGCAAACACAGGCGATCCCATTATTGAATTAAGTAGACCACATGACCATAGAGGAAATGCATATATAGGAGGTAGCGTTGTGTCTAATTGATTGTTATTTCTAATCTATCCTCTGTTACTATACGGTTCGTGATTCTCTTCTCTATGCTATTCACTATACTATTTCTCCGTTTGGATCACTATTCAGTGATTACTATTTGAGTGAGTATTATCGAGCAAGTACTATTAGTGTGAGATTATTCAAAAGCATCTGACACCAACATTGTTCAATGGCTTACTATAGTTGTATCTGCAATTACAAAGTCTCTACTACAACGAGCATTATGAAAGTTACAAGTATTTGCTGACCTTACAAACGAGTGTTCATTGACATCAATAAAAACACTGCAATAATATTTTTTTTTTTTAGATAATAATTATTTAGTGACAAAAGTCTTACTAATGAACCCATATCTGGAGGGAGAAGTGGTGGATTTAAACCTTTCTCAATGCTATTTGTACATCCACTCTCCAACTAACAATTTCAAACAATTATTCATTATATCACCTGCACATCCAAGCTTACAGTATCTAATATTCCCAAGTGGTCACCCATTTAGATACTGACGAAGATCAACATTGCTTAACTTTGGTGATCTTATGGGAACCGATGTTTCAACATGATATGGCCATAAGCCTAAGAGTTTGAAATTAGGAATATAAATAATGACTGCAATGACAGGCATATATTAAGAGGAACTCTTTGGTGCTTATGTTTACATATACGTTACATATATTGTTAACAGAAAGTTCCAAGTATACTTTTATAACTTGTAAGCAATGACAATGTTTTAGAGTGAAATAAAAACAAAAAGGAAACTTATAATTAACATCAGAAAGAGGCAGTTGACATTTCTGGAGCATATAATCAGGGAAGAGGCCTTACAAAAATTGACACCGACAAGATATACTGAGAGACAGAGGAAAACAGCACATCACTGACCTAATGAGCTTGCATAAATGGTTGGCAGAACAGGGATTAGGAGAGATTAGCAAAAGACAACATTTATCAAGAGCTACAAAAGACAACATTTATCAAGAGCTACAAAAGACAGGAAATTGTGGAGAGACATGATAACCAACATCCTGATGGGACACAGCATATAGAAGAATAAGAATGATGTAAAATTATAACGTACATATTATGAAAATAATTACATATAAATAATAAAGCATATTTTGGCAACAATTATTCGTTTAAACAGGTTTTACAATTTCAACCAACTAGGATTGATTTTTTTTTTTTGTTTTTTAAACATTTCACCTCAAGCAAAGTGTGAGTGCTGTTAGTATGCAATAGACTACAAAGAGTGTAAGTAAGTAAGTAAAAAAGAAAATTAGAAAAGGATAAAAATAAGAACGGGGGAACAAGGCATCAGAAGATGTTAATTGACATTACATTTAAATTTTTGAAAATTATAGTTATCAGGGAAGCAAGTAAAAGGAAGGGAGTTCCACTGTCAGGAAGTTCGAGAGAAAAAGCTGTTGGTGTAGAAGGAGCAGTTACATATGTTTTTCTTTTCTGTTTTTCTAATTTTCAAATAAATTGTAAATTATGGATTAAATGCTGAAAGCCAATGTTCCTGTTTGAGTAGTTATGACTGTACTTTTAATTATCAAATCACAAACAACCAAAATAAAATTATTAACTTTAGACAAATATTAGTGTTTAATATGAAAATACTATACAACACTCACTGCAAGGAAAGATTCCAAATACTCAGAACTTTTATTACGCAAAACGAACAACTGGCATTATATATATTTCACCACAGAGGATGGCATTTTAAAATTTTTAAGCTTTCTTGCAGTGTTGTATAGTATTGTCTGTATTTTAATATCAGAAGTAAAAAATTTATTTAAAGACATCTTATTAAATTCACTTGACATGGTCTGTTTATAAACCTCATTTTTTTGTTTTTACTGAACTTTTCAATTTATGATTAAATTGTTGAAACACCCAGATCAAAATGTTATCAGTGTGGTAGATTAGATTTTGTGGGCAATATTTTGGCATTTGTTTTGAAATCCTATATATATGAATAAGCTGTCCAACATTAATGCTTTTTTATTTGAGTACCTTCAGCCATCTTAGTGATTATCAAGAATTGAATGTTTTGTTAGCAACATTTTGGCATTTTTTTTTTGAATATTACATTTCTGTTGTAGCATACCTACAGACAATAATGGTATGTCCCCATTCACATAAATACAGTAGTAAATACTGTATGTTGGTCTGCAATTGGAGAGTCATCTCCAGCTGTGCTGGTCAAACTCTCTTCCTTCAGGCAGAGTGGATCCCCAGACACGTCTATGTCAAAGGGCAGAGTCTCATCTCAGGAAACAGCTACCCGACCCCATTTTATACGGGGTCTAAGCAGTAGTGATGGATAGTGGCTCAGACTGAGGAATCAGAGAGCTGAGTCTGAAATCCAGTCTAATCCATTACATTCATTTATATGCTAATACCCTTGGTAAAGGTATGAATCCTCTTCTCCCTCCAGCTATGGGTAAATAGCACAACAGACCGGGTTCTGTAGTCTTGGATGACAACTGGTCTACCACAGAAAGAAATGGCAATTTACGGTGAGGAGTGGGGATCTGCCTTGTTAGTCTTGTATCGAAAGATACATGATCGCCTAAGCATGACTCACTCATGCACCTAACTGACTGAAGGCTCTGTGAGGCATTTCTGCATATGATATCACTTATAATTTGAATTGTAGGATTTCAAAACAAATGTCAAGATATAGCCCACAAAATCTTGTCTACCACACTGATAACATTCAGTTCTTGATAGTGGAGACAATCACAATTACTGGAACAAAAACAGATGAATTTAGTTTATTCAAAATTATCACATTTCATCATAATTTGACCCAAGCTCAACAGCTTCTCATTCCAAGCCTTTACAAATTACAGAATACGAATATCCACATAATGCTGAAATATAGTTTTATGCTATGTTAATTAGAGACATGTAAATATAAGCAGTATGGACATGGATATTAAAACTGGATTTTGACAGTCTGTTTCATGGGTTTAAGCATGAACCTGTATTAAATATTTATGTTCACACTGTCTGCATATATACGATGCACACAGAAATATGGATCAATGTTTATAGCCTGGTACAGTTATTAGTTGAATTCTTATCTGAAATTTTCCCTGTATTAATAGAAATGTGCTGGGATAATGACAGATTCATTTTTTATGACTTATCAACCCTTTGCAGGTTATTTAAAGTCAGAAAATATTTTTAGATGAAGAATTTTTTTTTTTTGAGATAATAATGATTGACTGATACATATCTTAATAATTAACCCATAGCTGGGGAGAAAAGTGGTGGATTTATGCCTTTCCCAAGGATATTTGTGTATACGTGAATATATCAAACCCAACTGATATTGGAACTTGGCTCATCAACTAACAATTCTGAGCCATTATCTAGTACACCATCCACACATACAAACTTACATCTAGGTATTGACCAGGCTTTATGTTATCTAAATTCAGTGAACCACACATTTAAGCTTACAGCAACTGGTGTTCACAAGAAGTTACCCATCCAGATACTTATCAGGCTTGATGTTGCTTAACTTCAGTGATTGTATGTGAACTGGTGTTTCAACATTATATGGCCATAAACTATGCTGGGGTAAGTGCACTGACAAAGAGATTAAATTGAAAAATATGTGTTTCTTCATTATTAGGCTAATTAATTAAGCTGACTAATTGATGCAGTTTGTGAGTATAAGTATCAAGTAGATGGATGGGGTGTTAATAGTAACTAAATGATATCTTTTTTTTTTAATATTTTCATTTTTTTTTCCAGCATAAATCATCCTTATGTCAGCATATTTTAAATGAATTTAAAAATATCCAAATATTTTAAAAATCCTGTACAAATATCAAGAATTTTTAAAATACAAGTAAAAATGCAGATCTTCTGAATGTCTGTGTTTGTATTCATATAAACATATATAAAATAAGTGAGTAAACAAAAACATCACCTCCCCTCCCCTCAACCTTTCTGTCTCCAATATTCATAGTATTCTTATCAATTTATACAGTATAGAATTCTATCACTATCAATAAATTCTCTGTTCCATGCTATATTCTTTTTTTTTTTTAAAAAAAAAAAAAAAAAGATTCTAGGATATATATTCATGGCCTTGGTGTTTATATATGGGAAAATCTTCCAATTGCAAGAGAATTCTCTTGAGTCCCCAAATGATTCTTTCATGTGCTTTTGACTTTGTTTATTGTACTTTGTTAGCTATCTCTTTTTTTTTTTTTTTTTTTTTTTTTATCACTCTCTTCCTTCTCAGGACTGTAATATAAGAAACAAAATATTTGACAATACAGAAATGGCTCTCTTTCTACATGAATCTGTGAACATTTGTTTGAAGATTTTAATTCTCATCATGTCGAGCATTCTAATGTTACTGATGTTGCTGGTATACAGATTTTTATTTTTTTCAATTGCTCAGTTTCCTAGTCAAACAGTGCATTTTCCTACTTGTTTCCCCTCGTAATTCTGATCAACATCTCTTCTTTACTTCATCTGTCTCTTACCTTCTCTCTTAGCTATTGTTAAGCATCACAAATCTATCCTCTTAGAAATTCAGATCAAACTATAGTATTTGTTCACATTTCTTTCAAGTCATCTATTTTTCAGCAACCTCCTATTCACAAGGAACATTTCTGTTACCTGCGTATTGACTGGAACTCATTTATGGACTTTCTTTGAAATTCCCCTTGGATTTATATTTTTTAACATTCCTATTGAAAATTGTGCCATAGAGAAAGATTTCTTCTTGAGTCAAAGCTGATATGAGTGCTTTTGTATCTTCTCAGAAATACCAGTTGAAACTATAATCTTCCAACCAACAGGAATCACTTTTTCCAATTGTACCAGTGTGATAGTTCTAAAAACAACAGATACCTCTTTGTGCCTGCACATAATAATTGTAAATGTATCCAGAAAGAGGCTTAGTCTTTGTTTACTGATAGAGCCTAAATGGTCCTTCATTCTAACAAGTTTGTTTCATGTGATTACTGGTCATTCTGTAATAGTGTATTAAATAAGAGTATGTCTTATATCTCCATTCTCTTCACTCAATTTGAGGTGTTAACATCTTCTGCTGATGAAACCTAATGTTTTGCTTGTAAATTATCTTCAAATTCTACTCTTGATTCAACTGGAGTATCTTTGATTTTCCAGTAAGAACAGAGTCTCTACTTTTTCTGTGATTATCTCTAAACTGGATCCTCACAAAGCAATAGTTCTTGAGAAATGTGCTCCTGAACTGGCTCCTGTTCTCTCTAAAATCTAAAATAAATTCCTTGTTGATTTCTTGCTTATTGGAAATCCTCTCCTGTAGTCCAAGTCTTTAAGAACTCATTCAAACTGTCTGAGCCTTCTATCAGCCCATTAGTCTTCTACCACTTTTTGGCAAAATACTGGAGGGCCTAATCAACTCTGAATTGATTAAGCATTTCACTTCACAGGGCCTTCTTTCAGATAAGCAAGCAATATGGCTCTTGCTTCTCTAGGTCAACTGCTGATGTATTAACAATTATTACTGAAAGAGTCTATCAAGCTTTAGATGAGAACATGAAAGCTTGGGTTATTGCTTTGGATATCTTGAGGGCATTTGACAGGGTTTGGCATGCTGGGCTTCTTCACAAGTTGAAAGGTTACGGTATTTCTGAACAAACTGATTCAATCTTATTAAATCGCAAAATGAAAGTTATCTTAAACAGCCACTCTTCTAAATCTTTTTACATTAATGCAGGTGCCCTGTAGGTTTCTATTCTTGAATCAACACAGTTCCCATTTTTTATCAATGAACTTCCTGATGTCATCAGTTCTCAACTCAGTATCTATGCTGATGTCACAACTATTTAATTTTGTCTAATTAATTAGATAAAGTCAAAATGGTAGTTGTTAAAAAAAAAAAAAAAAAAGACCTACAATCTTTTGATAAGGGGTAAAAAATGGCTTGTTAATTTTAATGTCTCCAAAACAAAACTCCTTTCTCTTAATTGTCTGAGAGACTCTTTCTGCCTTCCAACAGCATGGCTGATGCTAACCTCCAGGACAGTGACTCATTGCACCTTCTCAGGCTAATGTTTTTTGCTGACATAAAGTGGAAAGATTATATTGAATCAGTTACTAAGTCTGCTGTGAAGAATGTTGGTTTACTGTGCTGTGCCAGATAATTTTTCTCTCCAGAATCTATCTAACACATTTATAAATCTACTATTCATCTATGCATTGAATATTGCTGCCCTTATCCGGTTTAATGCTTCTGTGAAGTATTTAGATGAAATCCAAAGAAGAATCTGCAATGTTATTGGTCCTGATCTGTCATCTTAGCTTCAGTCACTTTCACACTACCATAATATAGCTTCCTGTGCCTTTTCTATTAACATTTTTATGGTAATTGCTCTGATGAACTTTTCTCTTTGGTACCTAGATTAATAATTTAAGTATACTACTAGATTGGTGGCAAGGTCTCATCATTTTACAGGTGAACCTTAAGTTCTATGTTAAGAGTTTCTTCTCTCACATTTCTTGCTTGTGAAATTCTCTTTCATATTTTTGCTTTCAAGTAAACTTTGATCTTCAAAAATTTAAATGCCATGTCAATCATTATCTTCTATTTTCTAAAATCTTGTTATTTTATTATTTTCATCTTCTCTCACATCCCTTGTGTTTTATTGGGTTTATCACTTTGCTTCAGGTGAAATGATGAATATATATATAAGTAATGTCTGAGTAAAATTTAACCTTTAATTATTTGCCTGCCATTTCCTTGTTTCCTAAGATGAAAATCTTTCCATTTGAATGTTTCAACAAGACACTTGAAATATGACTCAGACCATCAAATGAAAAAAAATGATCATCACGTCAGTCCAACTTTGGTAAGCATTTTTTTTATTATGTCTCTCATGAGATTAATGAACAAATTTTACATCTTCAGATTTTTTTTTTTTTAATAAAGAATGAAAAAAAAAAAAAGGCTGATTTATTAATACAAGCACATGTGACTTAAAATTTTTTGACAGTAAAGTTTGGATTAGTTACAAAAAGCTGACCTTAGACTGAGAAAGAAAGAATATTTTCATATGAAAATAACATCACTTCAGTACTTTTCCCTGTTGAAAAGACCAAGTATCACTTGAAACATTAATATACCCAAATTACTAAAAATGATCTGAAGAAACCTATTTTATCACTGAAGCTAAATTTATTGTAGAAGAAACATCAACTTTGTTTGCTGGAAATTAATAAAATATTGCCAAACTTTAACTTGATGTTAATATGGCTATATTGTCTCATTACTCTTCAACTAATCATTTGATAAATTGCAATTTTGGAAATTTTCATAATTTCTTCCAAAGATATGATGATGTAAGATATTGCTTTGTAAAGAGTTATTTTCTATATAATGGACGGACTTCTATTTTATGTATAAAATTCTCTTAAGTTTGGCAAAAAGTAAATGAATAATATTCCTCTCTGATGGTGATTTTAGAATTTATATTTCAGTTTACCCTAACAAATACGAAAAAGTCCTCTAATACTCTTGCCCGAACCAAAAAGTATCTAAAAAAAATTAAATAAATAATGAAAACCAATCTTTGGCAAGATTTTACAAACTGGGTTGAGCCAAGAACATTTTAGTATCCCTTCATATAAATTTCTACATAATTCAGTGTAAAATTAAAGCTGATTTTACTAAGACCTATTTTTATTACATGGTGATGATCAAATGAAAAAGGAATAATAGTCTAAGTAGGAAGAAAAATAATATTCATTTCTTAAGATGTTAAGAGAAAAATGAATAAGAAAATAAATATAGTTTAAATGATATATGATTTTTAACTTAAAGTTTCTGAAAATCTATTTTTTAAATTGTATTATTCTGGGGCCCAAATAATACTATTTTACAGATAAGCTGATAAAAAATATTACATAAAGATCAGAGTATATATAGGACAAGAACAATTGCTTTTCTTCTTTTTTTTTTTTATTTATAAACATAATTATTAAGTCTAAAAAGTAAATAAATATGATTATTATTAATAATGATTTAATTATTAAATACTAATATTCAAATTCTGACTAATGACTGCATCTTTGTTGTTGTGAAAACTTTGTGACTCTTCTGCTCTCCAGCTTTTTCCAGGTCTTGATCCAAGTAGCCTTCAGGGACAGTAGCCACATGGATAAAACCATCGGTTTATGGTTTGGTGGCACAGTAATTGTAAATTACTTTCCTGGGTACAGACTCAATGCAAATAGAGTGAGTAATAACTGAGCAATGCTTAAAAGAAAAAAATATATATTGTGAGATATGAACAGTGGAATAAAAGTGATCTATCCCCATAGATTAGATGAAGGGATCAGTTTGATCTTCCTTGAAGATTATGTGCATTCAATAGATATCTGATTAACACAATGGTTGAGATGCTGTGATAACAATAATAAAGATGAAGACATTAGTCCAATGTGAATAATGATAATTTCCCATTCCAGAAATTCATAAAAATTACTAAGAATTATGTTCGTATTGAAGTTCTAAGCATAGAATTTCACAAACCTTTTCATTTGAAGACATGTTGCAAGTAGT